GATGGGACACTGTGTCACAGCATCCAGTACAGATCAGGAGAGAAGCGGTACATGCTAGTTGGACCCAGAATGAGTATAGGATCTACTATAGTACCAGGAAGCCATGCAAATACACTCGCACTTCCCGACAGAAGAGGTGCTACTGAAGAGGTAAGACCATGTTTTCAATAAAACTGTTTCGGGAATGAAAATAAAATTCCCTCCTGGCAACTCTCTATGGAGATAACACATGTGACCCATTTTTACTATGCAAAGCAAATAAGTCTAATCAGTGTTCTTTATGTCCATATTGAAGTTGTGTTAGTTCAGAAAAGTAACATGATATATATATATTGTAGATTTTTAATGGTATGTTTTAAAAACGGTACATGGGCCTGTGTTTTCAATGATGTCAATAGTTTTGTTTGCTGGGTTAAGTAGACAACTCAGGTGCAGTAAGACCATTGCAGAGGGCCGCATACAAAGCACAACTATCTTGTACAAAAAAACCCCAAAACAACAAACAACAACGATAACAACACAAATCAAACAAAAACCTTCAAATAATGAGCAAAGTCATAATTTAAAAAAATTGAGTCCACGTGGTGTCAGTGTCATATCAGCATCCAGTTTTTGTGTTATAGCACTGGCCCTGCCCCTTCCACAGAGGTTTTGTTCTGGTGGACAGAGAGGAGACGGGATCTTAAACAGACACAAGTGTAGCCGAAATTTTTACGTGGGAATCTTCGGAATATGGGGTATATTTCTGACTGGATGTTTTGATAATTTAATGTTAGACCATTATCTTGGATGTAAAGACCTGTGAGTGGATGCGCTGTTTGCTGTCTAATCGAAAGATGGAGGCAGGAGGACAAAGACGAGGAACGCAGTGCTGGTGGTTTGCTATCAGATTTTCTCTGATGCTCAGCTGTGTGGAGCGGGTTTCAGCTCAGATAAAATATTCAATTCCAGAGGAAGTAAAGGTAGGAAGTGTTGTTGGGAATATGGCAAAGGATCTGGGACTGGACATAAGTTTACTGGAGGAACGACGGTTTCGTATTGTCTCCGGAGCTGAAGATGCTCAGTTTGAAGTAAATCCGAACAATGGTCTCTTGCAGGTTCATGGGAAAATCGACCGAGAGGAGCTCTGTGAAAACATTTCCCCGTGTTTGATAAACCTAAAAATGGTAGCTGATAACCCCATGGAAATACATTATGTAGGAGTGGAAATCATAGATATAAATGATAATTCACCCACCTTTCCTGATGATGAAAAAGTATTAGAAATTTACGAGTCGACTCTCTCAGGTAAACGATTCCAGTTGCCAGCTGCACACGATGCAGATGTTGTTACTAATACTGTACGCATGTACAAATTAAACGATAATGATCACTTTAGTTTGCAAATTCGAGACAGAGGAGAAGATAAGATACCATTCTTAGTTTTACAGAAGCCTCTGGATCGGGAAAAGGAGAATGAGCATAAACTGATACTAACAGCAATTGATGGCGGAAATCCACCGAGATCAGGGACTCTTAATGTCACAGTCATAGTCCTCGATTCAAATGATAACCACCCTTTTTTTAGCGAAGAGGTTTATTCAGTGAAGATACCAGAAAATGTAGAAAGGCACAGAAGTGTAATTGTGATAAAGGCGAATGATCTGGATGAGGGTGTAAACGGAGAAATTGAGTATTTTTTTGGAAGCGAACTTGACCCTAAAGTATATGATACATTTAGCCTAGATAAGGACACTGGTGAAATTCGAGTCAAAGGCGGAATTGACTTTGAGAATATGGAAGTATTTAAGTTGGACGTCCACGCCACAGACAAAGGACAACCTCCGATGAGTACCGACTGCAGGGTGATTATCAAGGTGCTGGACGTAAATGATAATAAACCTGAGATAGAGGTAACATCTTTGTCAAAGATTGTATCAGAAGATTCCAAACCTGGGACTGTGGTGGCTTTGATCAGTATTACAGACCAAGACGCGGGTTTAAACGGTAAAGTAATATGTAGTCTTTCAGACAAT